TGTGTGTGTGTGTGTATGTGTGTGTGTGTGTGTGTGTGTGTGTGTGTGTGCGTATGTATATATATATATATATGCACACATAAATACACACACACACACACAATGCATATATATATATATATATATATATATATATACATATATATATATATATATATATATATATATATATATATATATATATATATATATATGTATGCATGTGTGTGTGTGTGTGTGTGTGTGTGTGTGTGTGTGTGTGTGTGTGTGTGTGTGTGTGTGTGTGTGTGTGTGTGTGTGTGTGTGTGTGTGTGTGTGTGTGTGTGTGTGTGTGTGTGTGTGTGTGTGTGTGTGTGTGTGTGTGTGTGTGTGTGTGTGTGTGTGTGTGTGTGTGTGTGTGTGTGTGTGTGTGTGTGTGTGCATATACAAGTATAAGAGTATATGCAGAATCAAGTACGTAAGAATAGGCGTTTTAGATGCAGGTTGATTTTTTTTTCTTTTTTGCTTATTGTAATTTTATTTTGAAAAATAATTTGAAAGTCCCACCGTTTTCTTTTTATTCTCTGTTTCTTTAGCTGGAATGTTGCGTTAATCGCATTTTATAAGTACTAGTGATATAAGGTAGATATATGAATAACTTTTCCCTTGGGAATTTATGTAGGGCTTTATGATTTTTAGATAGAAGTGTAGAAAAACTAATGTATCTATAATACAAATATAGTAATAGTTTTATTTCTCTTTTATGTAACCTGGAGTTATAAATAAATGTTACCAAGTTAAGATTCAACCTTGTAATCACTGTAAACATTTTAAAATCTATATACGGGATTTCACAGTTGTTCAATAATTTATGAGGTAGATGAACAACGAAATAATTTTAATATAAATACTTTCATTCTAAAATGGAACCCCAAAATAGTGCCAAACAAAATCAAATATAAGTTTTTACTTGGTAACACTGCTCGCTGTCATATCTTGTTTATTATGTGCGAGTCGTAAATACTAAGCAAAAACTATGTTAAACTGAGTTAAACTAGGGAAATTTGGACAAGCGACAGGGCTGGAAAGAATGTGAATGGTGTGGTAAGTAGTGCAGGTGATTAGATACGGAGTGTTGTTTGAGTTTAAGAGGAAAAATTACTCAGAAATTTCGGAAAGTCTTCGATTTTCTGTGTACTTAAATGCACGAGATTTTATGTCTTTGTTTTTATGTTTTTCCCTGTTCAAATTGATATTTTTTTCTGTGGAGAGATTTTGTCTTTAGTATTACTTTTTGTAGTTTCATAGATTCAGTACTGCAGATGAAGATAAGATGACTTACATAAGAATGTTCTCTAAAATTTCTCTAAAATTTTATCTTTGGATTTTAGAATACAAATTTCAAATAACTACCATATACTGAAGCTGACACATTGAGGTTATAATGATATGAATTGATGTTGATTTGCCTAGAGGGTTTACAAGCCCTGCTTTGCAAGGATTTTTTTTTTTTTTTTTTTTTTTTTTTTTTTTTTTTTTGTCTTTCCCGGAGTGCTGACAGAGGCTAATGTGATCACTTAATCCTGCATCTTCTGTATTATTGCCAATGCTATTTTTTTGGATTTAGGGTTTAAAACTACTATATCTCGACAGAATACCACAAAACACCAGTGCAAAATTATGTACTCAGTTATGCTAGATATATAGTTATCATGATGCTATTGCTGATCTATTTCATAGTAGTAAATGTTAGCATTAGTCTTATTGATTTTTTGGTATTATTGATTTTTTTTGAACAGGGCTCTTTTCTCATAATTGTAATGACTATTTTGTATTAAATTAACATAAACCTGCTGTGATTTTTGATGGATGACCTTCTATCTATGCTGACGGTGGCACACTATCAAGCAGTAGCTACTGCCAGTTGTTTAAGTGATCCCGCAGAGGCCTGGAAACCTCAGCCAAATATATTCAGGAATGATTATTAGATTACGGATCCCCAAGGAGGTCTGCAAGCTTTATTCTTCTTTAATATTCAGGATTTATTGAAGGTTTGTTGGCCCTTGCCAGAGTCCTGACCTGTATGAAGGAGGTGGCAGTTAGCGCATGTGCTCTTGTTGAATTAATGAGGGTCTTATTATGATTTACCTTTATATTATAGGTACTTGTTACAGGTAGTTATCAAATTACCTAATGTCTTTCCCAACTAATGCTGACCTTGAATGATATAGTCCAAGTTTAACTCCTAAGAGCATGTTAAGATGAGGACACAAGGCAAATTTTGCGCCATTCCCATTGGATGCCAGAAAATTACAGGGATGGTTTCTCATAAAGTAGGATTAAGCGTTAGATTTTATGTGAATTTGAAGGGATTGTTTCAGGATCCAATATGTCTGATGGTTTATCAGTTAAGGGTCAAGCATTTTGAATTGGGTAATTCTTACTATCTTCAAAGAGAAATATATGTGTATTGTAGATATATTGTGATTTTGAATGATGCCCCCTTCAGAGACTTCCCCTACTCCAGCCAGCAATGTCGGGGGATCTCGTGAGGAATCGGGAGCTGGGCGGGGGATTTCGCTAATTGTAGGCATGTTAAAGAGCAAAAGAAAGTGGAAAAACAAAATCCAGAACCAATAATCACATTTCATATGATAAAGAAAGTGGAAAATAGAAAATCCTGAGACAAAATTCGGCCACAGAAGATTCAACACTGTGTTGTGTGAATGAAAGAGATGAACCCAATCATAAATCCAAAATCCTTCCCAATCTGGGGCTTTGCTCCCGGACCCCCTCCCAATATACCCTTTTAGTAGCCTGCCATTTTTACCTTAAGTTTATCTGCTGTCAAGAGGAACTTATGGAAACACTGGTTGGGCTCTGGGAAATGCATCATGAATAATCAATCAATTCTGCTCTTATTTCCACATTTTGCACAACTCAAAGATTCACCTTGTAAACTGTGACTTATGCAAATGTCAATAACTTTTAAAGAATTTTCACTATATTGGCTTAAAAGGACCATGGCCAAGATCACATTCAGCACAAAACATACCAGTGATTGTCAAAGAATAGTTAAGGTTGGGAAAATGGGCATTCACAAAAAAGATGATATAACAAAAAATCCAAAATAATTGTA